CTGCTGCTCTGGAGCGTGGCCAGCAGCTCCATTACTGGTGTGGGCAAGCAGGGAATGCAGGGTGCAGGGATGGGCAGGCCCTGCTTGCCAGGGTTTGGGTCTCTGGTGCCTCCCCTGTGCTATGGGTGACAGGCTCTGGGTTTGCTGTATGGGCAGGGAGCAGAGGAGCAATAAGGGACTTGCCTTTGGTATCCTGGGTTGCAGCTTCCTGGAACACCCCTCCTGAGCTGCTGCCCTATGTGCCCCATCCCACTGCAGAGGAACACAGCACCTCATTCATGCCCCAGCTCTGGGGTTGCTATGGGGGCCGTGCAGGCTGACGTCAGGGCTGTGGTCCCAGGCCATGGGAAGGTGCAGCCTTTGTGCTGCCAGCTTCAGCCTCGTGCACCCAGCCCCTTCCCCTGCCCTGCTAACCTCCTGATGCTTTCTTGCCTGGGAACAGGGTTGGTGGCCTGAGCCCGGGTCTCTCTGTGGACACAGAAGGCAGCATGGCAGCAGGAGTGGTGCCATGCTCCTGGCTGGCACTTCCACTGTGCTGGGACATGGTGCCGAGGGAATGCTGGCGCAGGACACAGTTCTGCCCCATGCTCTTTGTGGGATGGAGATGGGGATGGGCTCAGCTTCCTCAGTGGCTCAGACACGAGGGTTTCCATGGGCTTCCCACCCCTGATGGACTCTGTCCCACAGCTGCAGCCAGCAGTCTGGAGGTCTCCATGCCGGCAGTGGTTGAAGCAGAGATTGGGGGCACAGCCAGGATCGAGTGCAACTTCTACACTCCTGGGAATGGTTCCTACACCTCTATCAGCTGGTTCTATGTGAGTGCTGGCCTGGGAGAGGAGCAGTGGGCTGGGGCGATAGCTTGCCCGGGGTTCCCATCAGCACAGCCTTGGCCCTTCACTTGCAGATGGACCGCAACAACCGGGTGAGGCTGTGCCGCATCGCGGGCAGCGAGATCCTGGAGGAGAACGTGGACTACAAGGGGCGGCTGTCCGTGGGGGAGGACCAAGCCCTGTCCATCAGCAGGGTGACGGTGCAGGACGCCAGGACCTTCGTGTGCCAGGTTGGGGAAGGTAGCCATGTCATGGGCGAGAACCAGACCAGGCTCCATGTCTACAGTGAGTGATGTGGCACGAGGGCAGCATGGCCATGCTGGTCGGGCAGGTAGGGGATCCCCTTCTGTGCATTCTGACGTGCTTGCGGTGGGTTCTCTTTCCAGAGGTTCCTGAGGCCCCTGAGATTGTGGCCAGCTCAGGAGGTGCCTCCGTGCAGAGCAGTGAAATCCCAGAGGTGAGGAGATGCCCTACACAGGGAAGGGGGAAGCTCCAAGCCATGCCAGGCTCCCTGCTCCCCGCTCCCCATGAGGGCACCCCGTGTGCTCAGGGCTCTCTGTGCTGCTGCAGATTGCCCGCTGTGTGAGCAGGAACAGCTTCCCACCCCCCAATATTACGTGGCACAAGAATGGGGAGCAGCTGCAGCTGGAGGAGAACAGTGAGTTGGATGGGGATGGGGGAACATGCCTGCCTGCCCGGGAGAGGGGCTGGTGCTCTGGTGTTATCCAGGCTGTGGCCATCCAAAGGAGCCTTGCGCTCCCAAGGGAGCCCTCCTCTCTGCTGTGGCCCGGGCCTCTTCCCACGGGCTGTGAACAGCATCTGTGTCCCATGTAGTGGTGAAGATGCCGTTCACACTGACACGCGAGTCAAGCGGGCTGTACACAGTGAGCAGCACCCTCTTTGCCCACGTCACCCGCGAGGACCGCAACTCCCTGTACCACTGCTCCGTGCACTACTGGCTGCGGGGACAGCGGCGCACCGTGGAGTCGCGGCGAGTCAACATCACCGTGTTCTGTGAGTCGGGGGCTGCGGCCGTGCCCGCGGGCGCTGCGTGGCAGGGATGCACAGCGAGCTTGCCCGCTCCCTCCTCCCGCAGACCCTGCGGAGCACGTGAAGCTGCAGGTCATGCCGTCCTCGGCGCTGGTGAAGGAAGGGGATGATGTGCAGCTGGTCTGTGAGGCAGATGGGAACCCAGCGCCTGTCTTCAGTTTCTTTAAGAGAGGGGTAAGGCCAGAGGGAACCTGGACGCCTCCTTGTGTTCTGACTTCTTGTCCCCTTCCAGAGGGCCCTGGGGAGTGGGATGCAATGGTTGGGATGGAGGATGTGGTGCTAAGGGCTCTGCTTGCTTCCCACTGCCTGCAGCTGGATGACATCTGGCACGACCTATCGTCGCTGGCAGACACCAACAGCGGGGTGCTGAATCTGCACGATGTGAATAAGAGCAGCAGTGGCCTGTACAGATGCCAGACCCTGGACTTGGATGATATGAGACAGCTAGAGAAGGATGTGGAGCTGGTTGTGAACTGTAAGGCGGGTGGGATGGGACCCAGTGGACCTCCTGCTGGGTGTCTCATCACTCCTGCTCACCCTACCCTGGTCTCCATCCCTCTCCTAGACATTGAAGGGGTTCGTGTGAAGATGGAGCCATCCTCACCCCTTCGTGAAGGGGATAGTGTGAGGCTGAGCTGCAGTGCCCACAGCCCTTTGTCCCTGGACTACCAGTGGAGGGATGAGAAGGTGAGCAGGCATTCAGGTACTGTTACCAAGCTTGGGCTTGGCAAGCCGGGGCTATTCAGAGCCCGCAGCTTGTTCCAGAAGCAGAAGGGTCTGGTGCTCAGGGCTCATCGTCAGGGGCATCCCTTGCCAACAGGGCAGGAAGGTCGCAGAGGGGAACCAGCTCTTCCTGAGCAACCTCACCTTTGAAACCTCCAATAACTTCAGCTGCAAGGTGATGGCACCAAGTGTGCCGGGGCTGGAGCAGAGCAAGCAGGTGGCTGTGGCTGTTCAGGGTAAGAACCAGCATGTGTGCGGACATGCTGCCGCCAGAGTGAGCCCCATCCTGCCCCACATCAGCCCTGTTCCCCCAAAGCCACAGGTGCTCATGTGTCATCCCCACAGGGAAGCCACGAATCGTCGCCATCAGCTCCCCGCTGTACGTGCGGCAGGACGAGGTGGTGAACCTGACATGCAAGGCCATTGCTTTCCCCAGGCCTTCTGTTCACTGGAACGTCAATGGGACGGTGAGAGCTGGGTCAAACCGTGGTCTCTCACAGGGGCTACGCATTGCCCTGGGCACTAAATCCTTTGCTGTTCCCCCCTCACAGGCTCATGAGTATGTGGAAAACCAGCACATCGCCAGCAACCTGACAGTGCGTGTGAGCCACGACCTGCTGCGGGCAGGAGCCATGTGCAGGGTGTCCAATGCGCTGGGTGTCAGCGAGAAGCACATCCAGCTGCTGGGTGAGTCTCAGGCACTGTTCTCTAAGGGAACCCAAAGCAGCGTTAGTCCCTCTCGCATAGGCACCATGTGTGCTGTGCTGCCGTGGCGTGGCTGAGCTCTGTATCTTTCCCTTTCTGCTCTACCAGTGGAGTCCATCAGAAAAGGTCAGTCTCTGGATTGCGGTGGCTGCATGTGTCCATCAGCCCAGGCTCTGGTGGGAGCATGCCATCGATGGGAGTCATGCTCACCTCTGGGCTGAGGAGGGGACCTTGGCTGCTGGCTCTTGCACTGCATCTCTCACTGCTCCTCTCTCCTTGCCAAGCCAAGAAGGAAATGGAGGCTCTGTCTCCATCTGTTTCTGCAGTGGTGTGAAAGCCGCCTGCTTGTCCTCAGCTTATAGCCCAGCTAGGCCATCAAGTGCCGTTTCCTGTAGCCCAGGCCTGCTGGAAGCAAAGGGATGCCTTGATGGTTCACAGGAAACCCTGTAAGCCACCCTGTCGTGGCATGCAGGGGCATGGCAGCCAAGAGCAGAATGCAAAGCGTATTTATACAGAAACTGCCCTGTTTCTGTATAAATGCAGAATATAATAGAACAGAATAGAATAGAATAGAACAGAATAGAACAGAGTATCAAACCCTGCATTTTTGTATTGACATCTGCATCCTGCAGGGAGCTGGAGAAGCACTGGGAACTGTGCTCCCTGTGATGCTTTGGGAAGAGGTCATCTCCTTGCCCCAAGGGAGTGCAGTAATGCAGAAGGTGGAGAGCTTCAGGGTGGGACAGGCATTAACTTCTTCCTCTTTCATTGTGTTTAGATCAAAAGATACAAGAGAGCAAAGGAGTGATCATTGTGGTGATCATCGTCTGCATCCTTGTGGTGGCTGTGCTGGGGTCTGTCATCTACTTCCTGCACAAGAAAGGCAAGATCGCATGTGGCCGCGCTGGGAAACAGGACATGTAAGCACTACCGCCTGCCCAACCAGGGAGCCCCTGGGGCCAGAGGTGCTTGCCATCACTCATGCTTCCCATCTCATTGCACCAGCTGCTCCCTGCCCAATGCAGAGAGGGGAAATAGTGCAGCCTTGGGGGGCACCATGCTGGGGTCTCAGCAGCGCTTCCAGCTTCCCGCAGCCTGGGGACTGCACTGCTTGCCCCATCCTTGCAGGAAGGCAATGAGGAGGACAGCAGAGTGGTAGAGCAGCCAAGGGACCCCTCTCGAGGGAGGGAATGGGCAGCCCAAAGCTTTCTGTGAGCTGGAGCCTCTTTCACCCCTGGCCTTCCTCTGCCCCGGCCCCGCTCCAGAGCATCCTCTGAGGTGAAGCCCCAGGGTGTGGCCTTGCTCAAGCGGGCACATGCTCTCTTTGGTATCGCAAACCTGTCTCAGTTGTCACCTCCCTCCCCTAGCACAAGGCCAGAGGCACGTAAAGACAAGATTGTAGTAGAAGTTAAGTCAGATAAACTGTCCGAAGAGGAGGGGCTCATGCAGGGCGCCAACGGCGAGAAGAGATCTGCCGCTGACCAGGTAGGACAG